CCAGGCCAAGGGCTTCTACACATATGACGCCTTCATCGCTGCCGCCGCTGCCTTCCCTGGCTTTGGTACCACTGGTGGCATCGCCACCCGGAAGCGCGAGATAGCTGCCTTCCTAGCGCAGACCTCCCATGAGACCACTGGCGGATGGCCCACAGCCCCGAATGGGCCCTACACATGGGGCTACTGCTACAAGCACGAGCGCACTACCTCCAGCTACTGCACCCCAAGCGAGCAGTGGCCATGTGCCCCTCGAAGGCGCTACTATGGCCGCGGGCCCATCCAGCTAACTCACAACTACAACTACGGGCAGGCAGGACGGGCCATTGGGGCTGACCTGTTGGGCAACCCGAACTTGGTGGTCGTGAATCCAACCGTGTCTTTTGAGACGGCGATGTGGTTCTGGATGACGGAGCAACCGCCCAAGCCTTCGAGCCATGCAGTGATCACAGGACAATGGAACCCGTCGGCGACAGACCGTGCTGCGGGGCGGGTGCCTGGGTTCGGCGTGATCACCAACATCATCAATGGCGGGATCGAGTGCTTTCACGGGTATGATGAACGTGTTGAGGACCGAATCGGATTTTACAAACGCTACTGCAACATCTTTGGTATCGGCTATGGTGACAACCTGGACTGCTACAAACAGAGGCCCTTTGCCTAATAATCCGCTCCATATATGTACTTGTGTACTTTTTTAAAAATGTTATTTTTCATTATAAAAATCTCAAAAATCTATAACTACTAATAAAGAGAGGTGCATTTCTCTTTTTTTGTCAGTTTATCTATATTATATTTTTTATCCAAGTTGTCCTTATTTTTTGTGCGCCCGTCGTCGCACCTACGCGTTGCTAGAAAATTGAGCTGCTCACCTGTGCTTGAAGCTTGCCCTAAAAAAGCCTGGCTGCCTAGCCATAAGAATTAGCTTTCGCTTGTGCTCAGTCCGTCCGTCCCCGCCGCCTTTTTTTGGGCCAAAAAATGTGACTGGGTGAGATAATTAATTTCGCCTTGCCTCTTACACAAATTCTCGCCAATTTAAATGCTTCCGTGAGTTGCCTCCAAAAGCAAGGAGCCTCCTCGAGAATCAATAAACAAGGATGTGAATAAATAAATTGGATGAACAAAAGATCGGGCACAGGTAAAAGAAGTAATTTAAATTAAAAGAAGGACTAAATGTGGCTATTACGAACCTGTAGGAAGGAAAGGAATAAATTCTGCTTTAGTAAGCACAGGAAAGAAAGGAATTATATGGCTGCATGGGTCGATGGCAGAGAGAGGAACCTGATTAAATGAATGGGCTCAAAAAGAATTGAAATTAAAAGAATGAATAAATGGACGTGGTAATTAATCTAAATGCGCATGTGTCTGCATTATGATTTGAGGGTGCGGCGTGTGGCGTGCATAAACATATTGACGTAAAATTGGTTAGCAATATAACATGCACGGTGGAGGAGCACGGCAACTGACCAAACTCGCCGCTTTGAAATTGTTCTTCGTTTTCTTTTGAATCCCCAGTTATAAATTGTTCTTAGCGATATTTACATTATACTCTGTGCATGCTAGAATGTGACGATAGTACAAAGAGGAAAAGTGCCAAGCTCACCAGGGGTGTGGCATACTTTGTTTCTCCCATGACAACGCACATGCATGTTTGCTAGTATAATCTTAAAACAAGATTTGACAACACATGGAGTCATGGTGCGTCAGTTGCGAGTAGACACGATGAATTTCATGTTGTTGTGTTGTCCAAAACGACGTGCGTCTATGGTGGCCAATGCAAACGATTAGGCCAAGTCTCATCTTCCGATCGCGACGTCGCCACGCTCCACCCTGGCAGGCAGCACGCTGAGCCACAATTTTATGTATAGTATATTTTATAACATATATATTCATAATATTTCGAAGCATAAACAAAAGTAAAACAAATAAACATGAAGAAGAAACAGAAAAATCAAGGTTGTGGCCTCCCAGGAGCTGGGCCGACCGAGTCCCTCGCTTCTGCCCTATGTC